GGATCTCAGCACGTCAGGGGGAGTGGAGAAGTGATTTGTATAGCATGTAGAGAGATAGAAATGATTCTTTGTTTGTGTGACATTGTGGACTGGTATAGTGTGACGTGCTCCATTGGCTTGTTTATTTTCCCTGCTAGAATCAGTGTAGGAATGAGGTGCAATTAAAGGAATGGGGCAGGCAGAGCATGTTATTCACTAATAATATCTAATAATAGAAAAATTTTCTTGGGAACCAGCTGTGATCCCAGCCTTGAAAGTAGTACTCCTGAGTGTAGCAAGTCCCGACTCCTGATATTGAATGTCTAACTCATTTGGGAGGAATCTGTTAAGGTTCTAACTGGGAAAATTAAGAAAAAATGGCTGTTTATTGATTTCTGAAAGCAATTACAGGGAAACGTAAAGTAAAACAGATAAACTAGACTCTCTTCTAACCCTCAACTCTTGTCTGCCTACCACTATCGTTTGCCCCTTTTATAGATTCTTAATAACTGCCTGTGCCGCTTCCCATCCTGCATTAATAACAGAATTCTGTTGCTGCACATTCTTCTCAATTCTTCTGAGCTCTTCTAGAACTGGAGGCCTATCAGAGTCCTTTGCAGTAGCAATTATTAGATTTGAACTTTCAACATATCTAATTATTTTATCCTAAATATTATCCGATTCATGTTTGCAATCATGGAATCTTAACTGCGATATTGCTGTGTAGATTTTGACTGTTTAAGTTTCTGAAGGCCTGTAATTAATGAATCAAAAGATGGAACTTGGTATGGCTTTGGAATCACAAGGTAGCCTCTTGGGTTAGAAATATCTTGGGAGTTGTTTCTTGTTTGACAAAAGTATTTGAGGAAACCATTTCTACCAAACTCATGTCAAATGACTGAACTAGAGGATGCTAGTTCCCATTAATGAACAATGGAGACATTCAGAAGTCACAAAATGAATCTTTGGGAGCGAGTGATCATGCCATGATTTAGCTTCTCTTTGGGAAGAATCTATAAAACGGTTTAATTTATACAAAGATGGAAATGAGGGTAAGTGGATAGCTTGTCGGGCAAGTGGAATGTGTGGTTGAAAATGAAGTTTGAACATTTATAGAAATTTAGAAATTGAGGCTTATACTTCCAGATTGATTTCAGAGAATTAATTTGCTGTCCTGAAACTACATATCTGTTAAGAAGACTGATGAAGCTACAGAGTCTCGGAATACAAATTGATTTATAGTGCCTAGTGAGTCTTAGAATACAAAGGAGTCAAAACCAAGTACATTGATGTCATCAAGGCTGCGCATGAAGGGAATTTCATGTGTTAGAAGTAATGTAGGAGAATCTCGCAAGTACTCAATTATTGCAGGGTTGCATAAATAGCGCACGTAATTACACGTGTTTGTTTTGCATCAAGAATGAAGAGATGAATGAATTTAGGTGCACTTTTTAAACTTTTACATTCGTTCTTGGTTCATTTTGGTGTATGATTTGTGATCTAGTATTAGGTTAAATTCACCAAACTTCAGGGCTCGCCTACCCTCCCTCCCTTTCTATTGGTCTATATATATCTATGTGCATATGTACGAGTATGCAACAAAAATATCGAAATCCCTCTTGTTTCAAGTTGAAATATAATTTAGGCATTTCCTTTTTTTGCTGGTTTAAGTTTCTTCGTTGGTACTGAAGCTGCTTATATTTGAGGATAATCTGGTGGTATGGAGTAAAATTGATACGCTAAAAAATGATAAGTTGTAGTATTGATATTATCAAACTATGATAGTAAATTATAGAATGTAATGATAACAGTTTAAATTTGTCGAACTGAAGAACTATGAATACTTTCCTAATTTTCTTACTTCGCTTACAGGCTTTTGGAGCGGATAGGAAAGAACTCAGAGCCGTGCTTCCATGAGTCGAATCAACAAGAAACACTAAAACTGCGGTTCTCCTCAGAAGCTTGGACGAACATGGAATAAAACATAGT